ACAAGTGAAGGCCTACAGAAGTGCTCGAGATTGTTTGATATTGGACATGCTCGAGCTCAGCACATGTCAAACCACGAGCCGCAACAACATGTTTTGGCTGTGATAGAGGCCTCCTTCCAGAGACTCCATGATTGACTTCCAAAGACTTATGCTTGGATAGAGCCAGCAACAGGTCGAGCAACTCATACAGTCGCAGGTCCACTCTGGGCAAGCCGGGAAATTGGACATCAAAGCTCCCCTATAGTCTTCTTTACTTTCCTCGATCTCAAAGGTAACCTAGGCACCGACTGCTTCCCAATCATAAACATCGTGCACGAGTATGCGACAATATCTCCTTGCCAGACTGGCTTACACAAAAGCAGCTCGACTCAATTCATCGCAGACAAGTCAGAGTTCCATCATGACGTGAAGTCCGCCATGAAACTCTCTCGAATCCCACCTTGGCTGGTTATTCCGACGGAGTGTCTGTAGCGACGACCAACCGATGTCTCTCGATCGGCACCGTTCTATCCGTTATCTTTCACATACTTCGCATCGAGTTCCCCAAAAAGCAAGGTCCAAAAGGCGACAAACCTTCACCATGCCAATACGGCTATTGCAACATGAACAAAAGATCTCATTCGAGTCAGCACATGATCAGTCCAACCGAGTCATCCATCTCACAACTCCCGCAAGGATCCAACTCTGTTCCTCGAGGTCCAGACCAGGTCTAGGTTCTTTCTTTTTTCGACGTCTTCCCCCTTTCTAAAAGAAGAAAGTAAAAATACTCCGAGGACAAACTTCTGCCATCCGATCCAAAAAGCAAACATGACCCTTCTTTTTGCAGTATACAAACCTACAGTTTCAGGGACGAACTAGCCTGGTCTTTTTGATAAACCCCAACTATCCCAAAACTCAATGACCCATTGATCCCCATCCCGCCTACATGAACACCCTCTGATCTTCGTCAAACCCAAACGTCCGTCGATATTCTTATTCCGTTAGCCACACATCATCAATCAAAGCCCCCGAGTCCAATCCCAACCGTCATAAAAAAATGCTCCGAAAGCCCACATCGTCGACCGTTGACCCAAAGAAACTTTTCAAGACATTAATAACTCTCAAACATATCCCCCTTTTTTTCTCGCCAAAAGACAAACCCACGTTCCACACCCCCGGTATCACTCTTACACGCCAACATCCGCCCCTCCTCCAACATCGTGGGCTCCACATCCCGTCGATGAGCGTAACCACAGCAGGCCATCGAACCGAGCAACACTCCAAAAAAATCCTCAACCCATGATCCCGGCCACAGGCCGCTTCCCTAACCTCCCCATGATCCCTCATCCCCGCTAGACTCATTGCCGATGGGGAAGTAGAGACCTCCATCTACACAAGACTCCGTTTAATCTCCCCTACTCGTCGTCGCTCAAACGAAACACGCCAACGCGTCAACTTACGTAGGCAAACTTGCGTGTTGGATTGTGTGTTGCCGCACCCTCAGACATTGCGCACTCTTGGCCTCATTGTCCACTGATGCCTTCAAGACGTGTTGCTGAGACAATTGGACATGGAAATCAAACTCGGTCGGCCGGGTCTTATACCAGCCTTTGAACGGAAGCTATTCCCATCAGGACAACGGCCGAAAGTGCCATGACCTCGATATCTCAGCGACACCACACTCCAGATACAGCACCCGGCAGCAACATCCGTCTTTGCCAGCCGCGCGGCCAGAGATACTCCCGAAGAAAATACACAATGGGCAAACACAAACCGTAGCTTCTCACCACGCGCCCAGTGCTAGAACCACGAGGATGAGGCTGGGAGCAGTACCCTCTGTCAGAAAGTCAGACACGCGAGCAGACATGCCCATGGGCCCATCCACAACGGCGAAGAGGACACAATGCCCTCAAGGTCGCAATCTACATGCTTCACCAACGATCCCACAGCCTTTCCCACTGAACCCACCGCGATCATACCACATCATCTTGGGGGGAAGTGATGGAAAACCCTCCGGTTCCGCCGTCCCGGTCCTTGTTTCTGGGAAGCCCGCTGCCCACAGAGTTGGACCGCGAGTTCATCTGTACAGACACCCATGAACCATGGCATCTCATCTCCCACAGGGCCACAAGTACACAGCAGACCCAAACAGGCTATGCGACATTTCATCTCCTCCGCATCTCGTTGATATCGCTCGGCAACGGCATTTGGGATGTCAGAAAACCTTGGCGAATCCGGCTATCAACGTAGGCCCGTAGGGAGCAACGGCAATGTTAGAAATGCAAGATTAAGCGCACCGAATACATTGATCGCCCGAGTCTATTCCTCCCTAATGCCCCCCTCTGTTGCCTCGAATGCGGGTCCCAACGCTACAGATCAATGTCGACATCTCCAAGGGAAAGCTAGATAAACTGTAAAGACAGATAGATACGCGAACTTTCGGTGAGCATCAGTATATATCGGTAGTCGCATCGCTGAGCCACCTCGGCTTGCTCATTTCACATGCGCGTTTCCTCGAGCTACGCCACTATGCCACAAAGCATGGGAACTCCCAGACGGCAGGACGAGGATAGACGGGTGTGTATCGATCTGGGCAGAAATACATCTCTATCTCGGACCACGTCCCTCTAGCATCTTGCAAACTAGAAGTCAAAACGCACCAAAGAGCCATGCGTTCAACGGCCTCCCACGCGAGCTCATGGAGCACCGTGATCCACCATCCCCATCTTCGATCCTCAACTATCAGACATCATGTCACGTCGTCCCAGCCGAGCTCTCCAAAGGCCCAACACACGGGTAACCTTGCCCATGATCTCCACGTTGGAACGACTGCACAACCCCCAAGCTCCATGCAACGGGCTCTTCTCCTCCCCGAGCATCAACCGCAAGTTCGCCGAGACCACTCGAGTCAAAACACCAGGAAGAGGCACAAGGAGGAGCAGACTGCACTCTGCTGCAAACCGCACCTCCAACACGGACGCAATTCCCTCTCACAAACCCCGAGAAAAGCTGTCCGCCGTTCCCACATATTCCTAAATACCCACACAAGCTCCCCATTGCTCCACAACGTATCCCCATACCGGTGAACATGCCCCCTAGCCGACATCTCACACACATACACATCCATACACTAGCCATCCCACTCTGTCTCTGCGTCTCTTACCTCCGAGCCTTCTCCAGCCTATCCATCTCTCGGCCGTTTGGGGGTGTGACGGATCTGGGTCTCTGTCTCTCTCTCTTACAATGTCCAACCTAGATGGCGCCATCAACCGCCTGATCGTCCAACCCGTGCCTCATCTCTCTACTTGTCATATTCTCTCCGCTCTGATCTCACGCCTGGCTGACTCGAAAGGGATACACGCGCCACAAAAGACACAAGGTTGATCCCCAGACAGACAAGTCTAACACGCGCGTAACGGCTGGCTCACATCATCAAAATCCTCAGATTTTAGTACCACCCGCTGATCCTCGTCCCACGCCCGTTAAGCAGACAAACGGGAACCTGATATCTGAATATCCAAAAGTCTCACTCACATGAGCCCCCGGACCAAAACAGAATAGACAACCACACACACCCTTCAAGCATCTGCAGGCATCTACAAGCATCAGATAGCAAAATTCCCCTTCTCGTCGTCGTCTTTCCCCAGTATGCTCGGCAAACATCCGGGATATGAATATCCTTCCCCCAGTCATCGTCGTCGAGACTATCATCATCCCACATAACTTCTACACGCAGAGAGCACACACATCCACACCCTCCTGAATCCCAGGCAGATCCAGGTAACCCACGCTTCCAAGCACAAACATTGCAACCATTCCAAATGAGGCAGCACTTGGATAACAAGAAAGCTCAAGCTCAACCCTCGCACCCACGCAACGGGGACGACAGTATCAAATACATCAGTGACATTCGTGACTTTCAGGATACTTCTTCTACCTTGTCTACACTGCTTGACATCACGATACATTCACGATACATCTCCTTCCAGCTTCTTTTAGAACCGCACCCCCTCCAAGCTTCGCCAACAACTTCCGAGCTCCGAGTTACTCTCAATCTTCCTACTACTACCCCAACCTTGAACCCGCATGCCTCTGACCTTGCCTTGACCTCACCTCACATGGACCTGACCTTACATCAATCTTTGCCGGGAGAAGCAAAGGCAACCATATTCCGTCCCTGTACATCGCCCATTAGCCGGCCGGCAGTACGCCCAAAAGAAAATCCCACAGCTCAAACCCAAACCATCAAAACTTCCTCCCATGGCCTTATCCTGTACTCTGGCAGACATCCGTGCCAGTACCGCCAAAGGGCCTACCATCTTCTCCTCCACAACAACGCCGCCACCCGTATTCCCACATGATTCCCGGCTACGAAGCATCTGTAGAACACCGGGCTATTCGTGCGAGGCAGCGGCGGCGGTGCGGACGGGGTGCGGTCAACGGACGAGGGTCTGGAAAGAGAGAAATTCACCCAATCCATGTGCCGAGCCAGAGAGCAGCTCAGAGAGCGGCGGACCCCCCCAGCCTCTCTCTTCCCACCCATGTCATCAAACCCCTGTCCAACCGTCCAGAAGACCCATGCCAGCGGTCCCAAGGGCCCCCAAGACGGCCCCGACGCGCCCAAGGTGAGCAGTCAGGTGTAACCCTCTCACCGACATATCCCTCACCTCAGACCTGTCGTCCAACGTCGACTCATATCGAAAGCTTACTGCGTACCCTCCTCCTACTTCCCATCGCCCGCCCAAAAAAAAAATGTCATTCTGCCTCGATTAGACGTGTCCGCGCGCCGTTTCTCGGCACGTCTTGCCAAACGGCTGCCTTTTCGATACCCTTAGGCCTCTCTCTCGTCCCCATTGGCACCATCACCCCCCTGCTCGATAACGGCGCTGTGTAACCGTTGCTACACCAGAAAAGCTGACGAAAGCACTAGGGGGAACCGTTCGCTAAAGAAGGACCAGCCCGCAGAACCCTCGTTGCCAACATTGCCCCTTGCTCATGACCCCCCTGGCCTGCATCTACCCTCCATCAGGAACTCTCCAAACTGGTCTTCTGTTGTGCTTTGCCCTCACCAAAAGGCTACGGATCACGGCCACTGCCCGGCTGCCTCCCCTCTCTCATCAGATGGTTCTTGCGCGTATCCGTACTCGTTATCTTCTAGTGCTCTTTCTTCCCGTTGTCATTGTCCGTGCCTTCCTGCGACCTACCGTCATATTCCCGGCCGTGTAATCAGGCAGTTCACCACGCGGCACGTGTCGTTGAAGAAGAGTAGCACTAGCACTAGCACTAAACAGAGGGAGGGGAGGGAAGGGAGGGATGCTCCGCGCTCCGCACCACCGGTGCCTCGATGCGACTCTCACATCAGAAGTGAGGCTCTGCATGAGTAGGAATGCAGTGCATGTCTGCCCTGCTGCTGCTGCTCCGCTGCCGAAGGGACTCGCAATACAATAAACGCTGTTCGGCAGGATCCATCCCGCTCCTTTTGTCCTGCCAATGACATTGCTCACGTGAACAAACGGCCATCCATCGTCGCCAGGGGGGGAGGGGGTACTTTGGCCGATGAGGTGGCTGGGGGCAGGAAGTGTACGCAGTAAAGATGCCAACATGCCCTCTCCCAAAGAAGATAGGGGCACCAACATCCAGGCGGTCGGTGTCGATCGAGACCACCGCGCGATCCCGGTATCCGATGTACATGGCCCCGGAGAGGGGAAAACCCCCGATGTTGAGCAGGAGAGTCCCGCCGGCCATATCGCGTAGTCTTGCCAGGACGCAATGTCAAAAGGTTCTCTATTCCCGGCAGCTGTTGTTGTCCGCTGCCCTCGCCGTCCGCCCACGCTTTGGTGGTTGGGTAAAACGAAATGGCCCGCGAGATGGTCCGCCATGGGCGATCGCAGTCGTGTAACGATCAAACGGCCTTTTCAGCAGTTGTGATGCAACGCTGCCAACGGCCAATGGTACGAAAACCCGCCCTCTCTCTGCTACTGACCTGGCTACGGACGAGTGTCAGATCCGACCTGTCTCAAAAATAAGACGCAAAAGCAACAACCTCGAACCAGAGACAAAAAGAAGCAAAGCGACGGGTCAGCTCTCACCCGTTTTGTGACGTGGCAAACCGCTTTCTTGATGAACCCACGAGCATCATCAGCAGGCTGTCTCGATAGGTACTGCTACTCGAGCATGCCAGATGCAGACCGCCGCATATTTCTCCCCATGCGTCGCTGCCTGCTCAACCGACTCTCGCTCACCTGGATCAGGATGAGCAAAAGGGAAAAGCTGCATAGCCGGTTCCATCTTTTGATGACCTCGAGGTGTTGAAGACACAGGATTAGCCACATGACAGCTCATAAACACCATCCACAGGGGAGGGGGCCAACATTCACCCATCCTTGCTGACATGCGTGAGGCAGACAAGATGCGATTATGCTGTGTAGCTGGATCAGCCAATTCGCTTCCGAGGAGGCCTGAAGTCCCTGCTTTCCGGCCTAAGCCACCTAGACTTCTAGGCTGAAGTGAAGGCATCCTCAGGTGACACTGGCCCAGGAGGATATCGTCTCGAGGCCACTTTCGTCAACACGAGACGCGGGGGCCATGCGGGTTGGTGGCCCCAAGGAGCGGTGATTTTGGAGCTGACAGCTCAGGTCGTACAAGCGTAAAGCATGAGGAAAAGCAACGCGTGATTCGGTGAAGAGTGCGGATTGTCGTCCGCCTCACCGACGTGCACTGAAACCTGACCCCCGGTCTTTGGTTAGCAAAAGGCGGCCAGGGCAACGGGCAATAGCGCAGGTGGAATGAGATCAATAGCGTAATCAGCAGAAACGGATCCCGTGACGCTGGAGTACATCTGCAGGCTGCACGAGGTGAAGAAAACAGTAAGGTGGAGGATTGTCAGACAGGGTGGGAGGGGGACGTCGGTGAGCCGGCGGCGTAAGAGAGGCGTAGCAAACCAGCTTCTTCGCTGCAGATGCCCGCCGTGCTGGATACCAAGCTTGGGTGGCTTGTCGCTGCAGACAACGGCGCAAAGTGCTAGGCATCCAAATGCAAGCAGCCGTTGCATCGTAGCAACGACACCTGAGCCACCATGAGACGCGGTCCGCAGCGTACCAGGCAATAAGTCGTGACCATCAGCGACCGCATCGGGACAGCTGCACATTCCAAGACTGACCAGCGTAGCAACGTGTCTCTGAAGCCCCTCAGGCTTACTACGGCACCTCCTCTTCTCGTTTGCGAACGTCCCCTCTGTCGAGAAGGAAACAAAAATGACATGTCGCAAAGCTCCCAAACGGCACCTTGGCCGCCAGCGAAGCAACGTTGAGGAGGGGCCGGCCCGGGTAGGGTGTGAGTGCTGCGAGCCGACTACCGATCTCCGTATATGGAAGCCGGAGACCCTGGCCTAAGTTGCCTGATCCGGAGACTCGTGCGGCATGGAATAGAGATTGTGGACGGAGGGGTGCGCCTTGCGGTTGGAACGGACTCTACCGGATTCAGGGGCCCGGTCAACGTATGAGCAGGCTGTTGCAGTGTGGCAACTGACCTTTTGATTCGGCGGTCGGTGTTTTCTTCCCATGAGAGGCGCGACGGCGGCAGGTATTGACTTTGAGGTGCACATACTAGCAGTGGTGGCGGGAGAGTCCGTCAGAGCTTAGCTAGGCTGGTGGTGTAGTCGGGAAGGGTGCACGTGAGGCCATCGTGAAGTCCCACTCGGCGCCACGGCACGGCGGCGGCCGGCAGCTCCGTCTTCCCCGGCCATCTACGGTCCAGGCCGGCGCCCGGTGCAAATGATGATTTGTTCGGCGGAACCACATTGGAGGAGCGAGGATGGCGTTGAAGCATATGCTGGCAATGGGTCTTCTAGTGTCCCGTCCTCACGAGGTGGGCTGCAAAGGGCGGACGCCACATAATCGTGGGCTGGAAGCAGTCGGCTGCTTGCGGCCAATTCCCGCATAGTCCACGGAGGAACAAGTGCACCTTGCAATCTGTCAGCGTCGTTTTGGGCCGCCTCGTCCCGCAATCGCAGACTCAAGCCGGCGTTTGAGACGTGATTGACTCTGGAGCTGGATCGTACGGTTTCCTGTATTGCGATCATCTCTACAGCAAGGGTTGGCTCTCTCCGAGATGAGTGCTCGGAGAAGCTCAACGGGACGTGCGTGCGTGCAGCATACGCAGTAAGGCAATGTACACCAGGCACACTTGTCCATCCATGCCTTTCGAACGGCCATGCCATCCCATATTGTCCTCCGTCAATCTTGCTATGTTGCACTGGGATACGCGGGGAAACGGGCTACGCTGCCCGGTACACCCAGACAGCCAGGATCGGCCAGCCACAAAACAACGACAGGATTTAGAAAGCTCGCTTCCGCATCGTGGTATATCGAATTCAGGGGCCCAATGTAAACGTGTCTATATCAGCGAATGGTCCCTTCAGGGCCCTCAAGGTAGGGCGAGGCGAGCTGATATGCAATGGGCCACGACAAGCATGGAAAGCACCCATGATCCATCATGATTCCGCAGCAGTGCGACGGACAAGTGAGCCAAACTAAACTCGGAACACGCCTGCCTGGCCGACCCGTGGATCACTGGAGCTTTCGACCAAAGGTTTGATTGACGAGAGTTTACTGAGCACACAACGCTTATCCTAGAGGATTGACTCGCTCGGCCGTGCCCGAATACACCCCCCCGGGCGACTTCGTCTGAAGGTAGGGCCGCCGCTTATCGTTAGCGGGCAGCAAGGCACCGCACGTCGTGGGAATTAGTACCAATTGTGAAGAGAGATGGATGTGTGCGACAACTTTACCTTTGGCTGGCGTCAGCATGTAGGTACTCTGACAGACAGATGCAGTCTCATGTGAGAAAGATCAGATGCGGGATGATGATGCAGCCGACAAGCTGCTTAGGTCAGAACCGCTGTGCCGTGTGGATGGTAACATGATCTACCGGCGACGACGGCGAAGCTGGAGGGAACTCAGATTCGACCCCCAAATATCGAGTGTATCTCGCAGTGGTGAGAATCCCCACAAGATGGAAGCCATCGCACAAGAATAGCAACAACCGCTCCGCAGTCAGCTCCGCATCGCGCCCTGGTTGTACCTTATCCAACGCAGTGGCTCCTTGGTGATATTGCCCAGGGCCAAGCGCAAGCAGCACCCGGGCTCGTGCAATTCGGGTCAAGCCCTGTCTCGTGGGCTGCGGTCCTCTGTCAGCAAAGGCTGCCCCGTGCCATCCCGGATGCATAGTTGGGGGGCCTGTTGATGCTCCTCCTCATCAACGTAGTAGCGTAGGGCAAACTAAGGTGGCATCTCCAAGGAAGACCTTATTGTACAGTCACAACTGACTTTGTGGGGTGGCGGACGAAGACAGCGGCGCGCCGCGCAGTCAAGCCCTCGTACGGAGCCATCGGGCGAATGCATGTGTGCGTCCTGGATTGCCATGTTTGCTGTCTGCTTGGGGCAAGGTTGGAAAGAAGAAAAAGATACGAGAACACGAGTAGCGCCCAACACTAGCCGCCCTGGGAACTTGGCCTCGAAGAAAGGTGTCCACCACGATTCCGCCCGATTCTTCATAGCAGATAACGGCGTTGCGCCGTGAGACGCGGTCGACGGGATCCTCGGCCGCCCCAAAAATTCCCTAGCCGCACGTCAGCCACTCCACACTCCTCAAACAATGCCCGCCTACCCTTTCCAGACGGAGATGGAGACTGGGAATTGGAGAAATTTCGCTGAAGAGGAGTCAAAAGCTAGGGGGAACGTCTGGAGTGGGGGAATACCTTGGGTTCCCACAAGCAATCACAGAAAAAGAAAGCTTGAGAAATTCGTCCACGGAGACTAACAGGACGACAAGAGGAACAACGGCAGCCCCGAGGCAAAGAAAGGACCGTCTGCGGAGTGATCTGCACCAGCTGACCGGGGATCGGGCCCGGAGCTGAGGTTCGCCGACTTCCCCCAGCCATCGAGACGTTGAATGGAAGCCTTCTAGAAGGATTTGTACCTTCGGATGGCGTGCTCATCGTTTGATAGTCGCAAGGAGTTACAACGAGCGTGCTCAGGAACCCGAGACGACCGTCAGAGTACACGTATGGTGTATTGCTCGGGTTCAGGGGACCTGGGTCGCCGTTTCGACTGCGTGGGCATTCTTTTCCCCATCTTCCAAAGTTCCCGCTGCTTCTGCCGCTTTAGCAGTGGGAAAGGCGCACAAGCAGCTTTGCTGGCAATGCCGAGCAACGCGGCCCCTATAGCGAGTCGTGACTGGGATGCTCCTGCAACGGTACTGGAATCACGCGTGATTCTGCACCCATTCTGCCCCATTCGGCGGTGCCAGCGAGGCTGAGGACGAGTAGGAAGGACCTGCGCCCATTTGCTCCCAAGGACCTTCGCTGTAGGCACACTTGTCAAGTGTCAGGCACGCGGTGGACAGCCCTCGTTCCGAACATGCCGTTTCCCAGCTTTCCAGAGTTCCCCGGGCCCAGCTTCATGCTAGCCGACCCATCGCGACAGCAGTCGTACTATGTAGACCAACCCTGAGCGGATGCGCGGACACGGCGCGACGCGGCATCGCCTTGTTGTTTATTGAGTCAGTTCATCGGTATAGCGCTACTGTTTTATAGCAGGCAACGGTTTGCTTGAAGCTTTGGCAGCGTAGCCCCCGGTTGTTTATATCGTGACAATGTCAAGCATATGCCAGGACCTGGGCCAGTCACCCTTGGCCATAATCAAAGTTGCCAAAGTTGCATTTTGGCCCTGCGTTTGCATCGTGTCATTGCGATCGCTTAGGAGCCACCAACCGCACTCTATGTGAGACGCGCATCCGTAGGCCGCCACTGGGCAGCATCTATTCCTGGAGGCTGGAGAAAACCAGCCTCCGTGGATCGTTAAAGTGATGCCAGATACCTCACGGAGGTTTCGTCGCTGTTTGTCGGGACTCGGGCGTGCCGTGGTAAGGGTCAATGTCTGAAATTTCCCGTCAACCCGGGCAGCCAGGTCGCAATAAGTGAGACGCAGGCTGGTGGTTCGCGAGCGGGTGCCATCTGTTCTCTCACAAGTGATTTCCCGGGGCGCATCCGTGGACGCTTTGGCTGTAACTTTGACGCGCGCCGAAAGGAAGATATTGGGCTTTCAAGCGATGAATCACGCAGCTCCTCTATGCGAACGTGTTTGTCATATGGCCGAGAAGCTGGAACGTCCCTTGATTCCTTTGCAGGTACTCTGGCCAGAATAGAAGGCAAACAAGGAGACAACAATGCAGAGGGAAAAGCGGAACGATGCGCAGTGTGCGAGGGTTTGCTTGCTCGGCGCAATAAAATCTGGGGAAAGTCAGGCACAGCTCAAAGGATCGACCAAACTTTAGGATTGTGTGTCTGTGCCAGTCGCCGTGTCAGTCACGAGCCGTTGCCAAACTGCGATGATCATGGAAAGTGCTGCAAGAGTTGAAACGACTCCATGGCCATCCCATTTTCCCATGGCGGATGGAGCCATTGAGAGGCATCCGTACGGACAGAAGATCAAAGACAGGCAGCTGTTTCCAGTGAGTGATCACAATGTGCTCAATCCCCACAATCTTGACGACTCCCTATTGAGGGTGAGAGCTTGCGCCGTGCCACCCATGCCCAAACGCAAAATGATGTGCAGCGAGGTCCATGCGACTTGATCGAATAGAGTTCGCCCATGGAAAAAAGGAAGCAAACTCGAAGGCCAGGGGCAAATTTCCGCCGAGGTGCCAGAGGTGGTGCAAGAAAAGGGGGAAAATTGGCACGCTGGCGTCTTGTCCCAAACCGAGCTGCCACTGCTCATTGCTGCGAGTGTCAGTACGACGCCCGAGCAGTCCGAGACGAACTCCGGAGCAACACAGGGGGTTGATGTTGCGAGCGTTCTGACAGGCTGGTGCCTCATCTCGAGTCCCAATCGGGCAAGTCGTCCCAGTCAAGACAATTTGGCGCGTATGAAACGTCGTCCATCCTTCTCCATCCAACGACCCATGCGACCATGCGCCCATCGTACTCCTCAAAGATGGGTTGAATCGAAGGAACAGAATGCCGCCGAGATTGGGGTCATCCGAGTGCTCGCCATCAGCTGCAGTGACTTGGCTTATACGCGACCCGCACGAATGGTGCTGCGTCGGGATCCACGGTGGTCCTATGAGATGCTTTGGCGTGCTGCCCTGCAGTGATGACTCGACCTCACAGGTGAAGATCCCACAACGAGTTCCCAAGATGCCCGCTGCCGTCCCTGCAGGATCATGCAGCTGGGGTGACCCCCCCAGACGATCCTCTTTCTCTCAATTAACGCTACCCGCGTTCTCCGTCGAGCACAATGGACGTGTCTCCGATACCAGCCGTATCGTGCTGTCCCCCCACAAGCTCTCGTTATCAGAGGCACGACTTGCGTGACGATTACGTCTCGCTGCATTTCGCCATGTTGGCCTGCAGGCGCAAAGATTACGGTCAACCGTGACCCCCCACAGATATCTCCTCATTGTGGTTGCATCGCGACCGAATCCATATGGGGGACTGTATCCTAGAGAGAGGATGGAGAAAACCAAAGACAAAGGGAATGGCCCCACTGCGAGTGATCTTGCGCAGACACCACCGTGTGGCTGGGAAGCGGAAATATCTAAAGGGATCACCCCTCTCCAGAGGCTCAAGCCGGAATGATCTGACAGGGACGGGTTCGTTTGATCTTTTTTCGGTAGCTGGACAATGTCAAGGAGTGTTTGTTTGTCTCTCGCGCGCAAGTGTCGCGTCTTACTCTTGCTTTGATGGCAGCAAATCGAGAGCGATGTGCAATGTCGAGGATATGGCGGCATCCCCTTGCTCTTGGTGTTGCTTGCTCGGCCAAAGGGGCTGCCAGTGACATGCCAGCGATCAGAGACATGCGACGAGCCTGCAGGCGGGTGTGTCTGACAAGGTGACGGCGTCGCATCATGAATCGAGGTGCGCCAATTTCCCAAAGACACCAAGAAGACGGTACGGAGTGAAGTGCAGACAAGACGTACATCGCAATGTCGGTCCCGTTCGATGTGCAACCAAGGCTGGCCACAGAGCCGTCCGATGGCTTGACTGTGATGTGACTGCCAAAGTGTCACTGTTCGTAGCAGGCCATGTCCCGCCCTTCGCAGTCCGGAGTAAGCAGACGGCGGGCCTTCCCGCAAGTGATGTGCGCGCGAGCTTGCATTCGTACAACGTCGGTCAGATTAAGGAGCATGGCCGAACTCATCAGTTAGGGCAAAAAAGCACCACCTTTGCTGAACAATGTGTTTGAAGCCGTAGCAATCGAAGTGGGCTCGTTGCTCGCCTGGTCGCCTAGACAGAAAAGAGAGACAGAGAGTACTCCGTAGCCTGCTGGGGTGGGCAGAATTCTGGAGATGACCCCCCTCACCAGGCGAAAAGGCGACCAGGGGAAGCGGAGGGTTGCGAACTTGCGCGTGAGACCAAAGTCGGCGTGTGTGTCGCCCAAGGTTACGGTGGCATCCCGATAGGCCGACTTGGTCTTTCTCCAGCCAGCAGCCCCTCTCGAGATGGGTGCAGTGATGCATGGTCAAGGTCGTCTCCCGCGCCCAATTCAGTGACTCTGAGGGTGCGTAGTGTGTGCGAGCAACGAAGACCAGGATGGGTGGGATTTGTAGCATGGATGCGTTGGCCAGATGGTGATGGAAGTTGCCAGACGCATGTTGGTGCTCTCCGTACTTTGTGGGACGTTATGCCGGCAGCCATCTGAATCACTGCGTCTGACACTGTTGGGGAGCGCAGGCGAAGCATGTCTCGTCGACGACGTGGGCTGGCGAGGCAGTCGACGACCAAGTTTTGAGTAGGACACCCCCGCGGTATCACTTTTTGGGGGCCACGCATTGTTGAACTGCTTGTGGCGTCAGGATGGGCTGGAGGAACGTTGCAGGTTGAAAGAAGAAGCTATTTCCAGTGCGTTTCCGGACAGAGACCAAGGTTCCGGCTGCAGTGACGAGATCCAAGAAGGAAAGCAACCTGGGATGTACCGGCCAGTGATGTTGATGTCGCGTTGCTTTGCCGTCATGGGTGAAGTCATTGAACTGGCTTGTTTCCCTCCAATCCACATGCACATGGGGTAGGGCATGGCATGTTGGAGTTCATGTTGTTGCTTTTTAGTGAGGCTCCGTCGGGAGAAAGCATCGGATCCTTGCGATGGAGACGGAGTACCTGACCAAGTACCCAGCAAACTTGCAAGGAAGGATCCGAGACACTGGACCTTCCACTGTCCCTGGTGTCAGGCTGTCAAGGTGCGCAACTGGCACTTGGAACTTGGGAAGGAAGGCACCGGCCTCCGGGACACCGTGCTTGTTGTCCTTGGCCGTGCCTGATCGGAACGGCCTATTTCCCCATGAGGCAATGGCTGGGAACTGCGCCGGGAAAACAACAGCCAGGAACCGGGACGACTGCCAACAACGATGCGAGCAAACATCCCAAATCATCGGTCTGGCAGAGCAGGGCCCCTGGAATCAATTCCAATGCTGAGCGTTTGGATATGCCTTCAAGGGGCACAGGAGATACCTCGAGCCAACCGTTACGACTAACCCAAATGGCGAGTCACAGACAGGGGGAGAGTTTTCTCGACTTGGGGCTTGGGCAGCTGAACTACAGGAACCCTGGAACCAATCCATCTAGATAAGATGCAAGCTGATCAAGAAAGTAGATCAGTAAGCCGCATACGAGACTTAACCTTTGGCGATTATTAGGTGGACTGTACGGAAACGGTCGGATACGAAAAAAAAGACAACACTTTCAAAGAGCCACAGCGAGCAATGAGACGAGAGGCCGGGCTTGGCAACCAGGTGGAAACACTGCGATGGAGCCTTTCGTGAGTCCGACTCAAACCATACAAACGAAAAAGGGTGAATGGCAAGGCTTGCCAGGCCAACCATCAAATCCTCCGCACCTGGTGGCTCCGTAGATGGGACTCGAGGGAGAAAAGAACCAAAGTGTCCGTCCTCGGAGGGAGCCTCTCCAACCCACCCGCGAGATGAGCAAAACTGTTGGTCATCATGCTCAATGCGCGCCGATCGTTCAAAGCAAGCCGGACAAGACGACACCTCAGCCGTCAGGACGAGACATGCAAATCCACGACACATTTCGTTGGATAGGTCTTGTTGTTCTTTTTTGTTTGCTGTTGCGGAACAGGCATTGCCTTGCTGCCCGAGCCTGTAAGACAACCGAATCAAAGGGCGTTCGGGAACCACTCGGATCCGCCGTCCATCATGCGATGCGCTCAACCAGTGTCTCTGTTTTTCTTGTCCACCGACCGCCATCTCTAGTCTCTAGTCTCTAGTCTCTTGGCTCAAATTTCAATCTTGTCGAGCCTTTTTGATGGGTGGTGGATTCGGCCCGCGCGTGTGAAACGCCCAGGACCGCGTAGAATGATTCGTAGCAAAAAAAACATATCAGATTGTCTAGGATCAGCTGACAAGAAATTGAGATTGCACTCGACGAGACTGCAGCCTCGTGTCACGATCATCGACGCCGAGTTGCTCGCTCGCCAGTTACGATCAGCAAAAGCTAGCCGACCGAAGCCCCTTGTTGGTTCCCTCGAGAGAGTGATATCCTACGTGGGGAACACACGAGGTCTGAGAGTCGACAGCAAAGAGAAAAGAGACACCGCTTTCTTTCTCGCCCGCCGCAAAAAAAATGCCAAGAAACAACAGGGCAGGACTGGAAAGCTTGGCTTTCGCAACGGCGCATGCCAAAAGTGCCTCTAGGTATGCCCTTACCGGCCGGGCTGCGATATGTACAGGGGTGCCGATTATCCTGCGCACGCAGAGGACGAGACATGCTATTGTGCTTGTGTCGGCTGGGGCCCGGTCTGGTGTTGTATCTGAGTTCTCTCAGACAGGCACTGTAAGATTAGGGTATGCGCGGGTGCGGTTGTCATGCTGGGCGGCTGCGGCTGATGATACGAGACGGGCCCGGGGGAGGGGACTCAACGGTCTTCCTGATCAAAGAAGCGCTATGCTTGCCTGTCCAGGGTAGGGCAGGGCGCCGAACAAAACCAGACAATGGAAGACGTGGAAGGCCGCTCGTCCTCCGTACCGACGCTGATGACGGCGAGTGAGCCGTGCAGTCCCTCACAACTCCTAGGTCAAGACTGTAAGTGGCGGCAGAAGCGAGGTGGTGGGCAAGCGGGCTATGGGCTGCACCCGCGCGACCATGCCTCCAAATTACCTTGGCTCTTGCGAGAACCACAAGGCTTGGTACGGCAAGTCGGCATCGTGAGGAACGGAGACGTCGCCCCAATGTAGCCAGCAAGACGACAGCGTGGCCGAGGTCAAGGCGGCCACGGAAGGATCGTCCGTCGGTATGAGGGCAACCCACGGCAAACTGGAGTAAACGCGGGTCGACAGCCCGAGACAATGACGGGCCTGTGAGTCGGTGAATAGGGCAGAAGAAACAGGAATTCGGCGTTGTTCGTTTTGTTGGTTGGTGCTCGACTCTTTTTCCAACAAGCCACCTCTCCGCCGGGTTTGCGGCCATTAGCCGGGATTCTTTTTCTTGCCTCACAGCTAGCCACCTTTGCTTGTGGGTTTATGCTGCCGTCATTCTTGGCAACGGGCGGATGAAACGGGCTCGTTGACAGCTCAGGATTCTTCTAATCGTGCCATGGCCGACTGTGTAATGTCAGGTTACAGGGCCGCCTTTAAGTTCTGTGGAAGTCCAACACCGGCCCCTTTCCGCCGCGTGTGTAGCAAAAGCGTAGACTGTCTCTGTGTGGACCAGCCCACAACCCCATTCATGGATGGAGATTACTGTACAGACTACAGAGCACTGTACTCTGTGCAGACTACGATGCAGAGTACGAAAACCCCGTAGACGAAGGCCGAGGGGGCCGGGGTGCTTTGTTGGTAACAACCGACGAGACTGTATCCGTATCCGCGGGCTCTGGCGCAACTCCATCTCTCCAGGCTCCAGCATTTCCACGATTGCGGTTGGTAGATTCTGAGCGGCACAGCCTGGCAACTTCCGAGGACATTGGTGTGTATCTCCTCGAGGCTTGTCAGTAGCGCCGTGTCAAAAGCCCAGGGGATTAGCACGTGTGTCGTCCATGGGCCATCCCCCACATCAGACAAGGCGCTGGCGGCTGGCGGTGAGACGGGGCCAAGTGTGAGATGCTCCGTAGCACAAGAAATATCTCCAAATCAGCCCAAAAATGGAGAAAGGAAAACACAAAAGGCAGAAAGTTTAAGTAGAATGCCTGCTCCGCTTAGGGCAGCCCCAGTGGCACGGGGGCAAGCGCCGAGCCGCAAAGGGGATACTCGCAATGTGAGACCCCAGACTGCCCAAGCTGCGACAGACGAGATGAAGATGGCGTGTACCTGTGAAGAGCTGGCTCTCTCCATGGGCAATTCAGGGTGGCCCTATGCCATACGGGCCGGGCGTGTGCTTCCAGCGAAGAGAACAACATGGCGATAGTGACATTTCCCATCTGACCATTCCGGCCGTGAGGGACCACAGAGTGTTCGGCTCAAGAGCATGATTCCAGTCGACTTTGCAGCGGCTGTCGCCCCCAAAATGCCAGCAGTTGTAATCTGGAGCGGTCCAAAGGGCGAACGGGAAGTGAGGAACGCGCCATTTTCTCGGGCATCATCGTGCCGACTAACACGCCGAAAAGACAGACACACTCGGGCTGGGCCTCTTCCGCTGGCGCGTGGGCAATCTCGCCGGACTCGCTTCTTCTCAAAAGGGAGAAGACTGAAGCTGCGAAGCAACATCGCATAGCATAGCATAGCATGGCATGGCGTGGCGTGGCGTGGCATGGTGCGGATTGGATTAGGCTTGGGGGCGAGTGATGAGTTCTGTGGTCAAAGACCAGGGTGACAAATGGACGACCATCCGCAGACCATGATACCTTCCCATTCCTCTCCCTTTGCCTGGGCCCGAGGTGCGAGGTGCATTCTGAGTCCATGTGAGCAGCCCCCGACAGCGCCGAAGAAACGAGGACGCAAGACAAGTAAGCGCGTGTGGCAGAGTGTCAAGTGGTGACTATCCAACTAGACGGGCGGAATGGGATATTTGGACGAGAGCAGGGGGGTTCATGGCCTCGATTCAGAGTTACGATATGCCACCCCCCTCGTCCCCTACCCTGGCGATTGGGTCGAGGGAGAAAGAATGGGTGTACTCTCTGTACGAGCGTGTGCGCGTTTGGCCAAGCAGACGGAGGAATCGGGTAGAATAGCACCTCAGGAGGGAGGACGGGAGATTTGCTGCCTTGTCGGCATCCGATTTGTCGTGGAAAGAGAGTAAAAGAGCGACGAGTTGGAAAAAAAAAAAAAAAAAAGTGTGACAGCGTCTGCTTGGGTGAGGCGACCGGGGACGTGGTTGTGTTTGGGAAAGGTCCTCGTGACCCCATTTTGGAATTTTCTTACTGCGGTAGACTGCGTACTTAGACAGTAGAGACTAGGGTACGGGAGCAATGGCCCCCAGAGCCAGAGCCCAAGGTCCCAAAGTGATTGTTGCGACACGAGCAAAGATGTTGGGTTGGGTTTCTCCTTCTCTTGCGTGCCCGCCCATATCCGTCCTCCCATGTCGATAGCCCAATGGCCGACCCCTGCCGTCGAGATGGGCAACTTCGGCGCCGCCGTCACCCTCTCGTCTGGTGTCTGCACTTGCAAGGTGCGATTCTCAATCTCAAAAGTCGCGATGGTTGCTGCACACAGACCAATGGAAGAAAGACACCACACCGCTCGCATCGTACCGCGCCGAGTGGGCGGGAAAGGGACTGCCGTCTCATTGCCATTCCCATCCACGCGGGAAACATCCCACAGGCTATTCTTCCCTCTGACCAAGGCATCTCGCGCGTACCCAGCCAAGGATTTGGTGATGTGAAGTCCGACGCACATTTCTCTCGCAGTAAAGTACCTTGTAGCTTGGTGTAGAGGGAAGGAGGGGTTCTCTAAAGTTAGCGGTTGCTAAATTCGTTCCCCCCGTTCCTAGTGTACGTATTCCGAACTTCCTGCTTCCTTCAGATTCCCAAGTACGTATCTAGCTTAGATAAGGTGGATTCTGAAGCCTTACCTAATCGCACGACCCACCATCCTCCCTCTCCAAAATTGCAACCTCTCCAAGTCCCAACCGTGATGACGGCACCCCAAGAACGAAACACCATCCATCGACAAGGGATCCTCGACCACCAGCCCGATGTGGGGAGGGGGCCCCTTCGGCAGCGGTTCGGTGCAGCGCAGGGCTGCTTGCTTGCTGCTTGCTCGGGGGCCCGGGATTCTCCTCAGCACCGGATACCCAGAAACCACTGGCCCAGATTGTGGATCCCTTTTGGCCTTTGTGCCCTTTTCTTTGTTCCCCCTTGTCCGCCTCAGCTTGTTCCTGCCCGGGATTGGGGTTCTTGTGTGCCCCTTCGACGCGTCTTCAACCTTCGAACCGGCTTCGAGAAAACTACGTCACTCCAGGGGCCCGCACCCAATGGGAGCCCAACGATGACTGCTTTTCCCCGGGCCCTCGACGCTATTTCCGCCCCTGTGGTGTGACTGTGACCGCCAGTCGCCTCCTCCTGTCCTGTTGTCGACCAAGGCATCGTGGCCCGAGGCGTTTGATCACATCCCACGCTCTTTACCGCCGGTGTGGTCACCGCCATACAATGTACTCTGAACAAAGTCAACGCATCTTGAGAGGCTCTGTTCTCAACGCGGCGGCGGTGAGCAGCACGCTACCCATTGCAGGGGCCCGAAGAGCATGACCAGGGGATCGACCAACCAGCTTCGACCCTCCTTGAATCGAGCGACGGTGTTACTCTTCTTCAACAATATCGACTTTCACAGACAAGATCGGCGCATCACGCCTTCCCGGATCTCTGCCGTATTGACCCTCCTTCTCTCACCGTACCTATCACTCCCATGCTTCCACCACGCGTACCTGACTGAGCCGACCCTCTGTCTCGGCGCCAAATAAGGGACAACCAGGCACGGGAGCAGTCCACCGGTCCCGACCCTTGGTTACGGAGACAAACTCCGAGCGTCCATGAGACACCACCGCTATGTTCCAGTCACGCTCCAAGTCCACAAAATCGCACAAGACCAGGACCCCTAACAACGGGAGAGGACGAGGCTCAAAATTGAATGACTCCGACACCCGGTCCGCTGTGCGAGACGACTCGTTGTTTGCGCTCAGGGACGTTAGAGGCCCAGGCAGATGGGTGGCCCCGTCAGGGGTCGTCTCGGCCGATTGACTTCAACGTGGCCGGCTAACATGTTGGACGCAACGTCAGTCTGCTCATCAAACACGAACAATGGGGATTCAATCATCAAAAAGAGCAGCGACTCGACAGGCCTGCCCAAATGCAACACAGACAGGGAGTTCAGCTCTTGTCGTTCGCAATATCATTCGCAAGTAAGGGAACCATCCGGCGGCTATCACTCTTCGGCCGGGTGGGTTCTCGTTACCTGGCGGCTGGGCGATTGATCGGAAAAGACGGTTACCGGCTCAGCAGGATATAGCACAATCGCATGCTTACACTATGCCATTGGCACCCGGTCTAACCCGCGTTCGTCTCATCCCTATCGTAGGTTTGGCACACGCAGCAAGGCGCGACAGGCAATGACATACATGACGCTGGTGTTTGCATCGCGCAGCAATGTATCTGCCGACCTATCGACGACTTGGAAGTCGGGGCACGACAGCGCTTGCTAGCTGATCCGTGGGAGTCAAGACCGTCGGGCCGCGTTCTCATCGCCAAGCGACTGATTGCTGCATACCATCGTGCTGTACGGGCAAATGGCTGCTTAGGCATGTTGACAGAAACCACCACATGACCTGCCTCGTCCGTGACAAGCAAATGTCGGTGTGATGGACTTCTCAGCGCCCATCCAGCCAAAACGCAAGTTGGGGAGAAACTCGGCATTCCTCGACCACGCCCCTGGTAGCCCGCGGTTTCTTGAACCCCGCAGCGGCCAGTTGGTCGGTCCCCCGGGACTAGCAAGACATGCCCTCCGCATAGGAGCCCGACGGACGCAGTGCTAGCGCCGTAGCTTCCGCTCAACATCTTTTGCATTCGGCTGGTGGACAGTCTCTCGTTGACCTCTGCATTATGCTTATTGGAGGTGAACGCAGCCAAGGCTCAAGACACGAGGCAGTGAAGGACGACGACAGCGCAAGACAGTCATCTGCAAGAGGGGCCAGGTTCAGCGGGCAGCCATCTCGTCAGCTCGTTGGCTATCCCCCTTCTCACAGCACAGCCAACGTGTCTTGATCGTCGCATCGCATCAGGGCAGGGTAACCAAGACGCGCCTCAGACACGCCAGCAACGCAACAGAATCCAGCAGCGCATCAGAAACAGCAGATTTGCTGCGAGATGTGTGTACCCGCCCTCGCAGGAGTCATCGAGCGCCAGTTGACCAATCCCCTCTGTTCAGGTGACGCCCCTCCGGCGCCGATGATGCGGAGTTGCGTGGTGAGCAGGGGGCCGCGGGCAAGGCTGCATATGGTAGTCCCCAGATGCGATGCTGCAGCTCCGTTGCGTTATTGGTGGTGCCCAAGAGAAGACGTTCCCCCAAAGTCTCACCTCGACAGTGCTACTCGCAAGGGCAGGTTTGCGGAGTTGGGTGGAGGGGTTGACCAGCCGCTAACCACCCCTCGCACCAGCAACACGATGCAGATTTAGGAGAGCGACGGGCAATGACAAGACGGCACACAGTCAGCCATCTGACGGGACCTGTCAAGTCTCATCTCCACCGCGCCTCTGTTTTTCCTTTCTGCTCGCCCTCACTTTGACCATTCAAGCCATTCTGATGCGGAATGGTTTCGCTGGGCAAAGCGGGCTTCAATGTTTGAGGCAGCGCAAAGTACTCTACTGGACGGGTACTTGCGCCATTCGCAATGGTCCTTCGACCACGTCGCTGCCCGTTGAAACAGGGCCACGGGCTCGGATAGCCACACACCCCTCCTCTGCTGCGCTGGCCAAGTTTTGATTCGAAGGATGCAATCAGAGGCACGCCCAGAGCTCCTCGGAATTAGCACAATTGCCAACTGCTTGCCCAGCTTTCGCTTGAGATCCGATCAGCCGCCTTCAGTACAGAAAGATGGAGCTGATGTTATCCAGCCAAGGTCGTGCTGAGGCAACCGAGACAGTGCTCGCAGGCCGGATGCACAAACGCAGCATGACGATTTCTGCGGATACCAAGGTCGCCAACTTTTTTTTTTCTCCCTCTTTGGTCCTAATGGCTTCGGCGCCGCCTCCGCGGCCAGCCGGACTGTCAAGCAGCGCGTGCTGATCATCCTTGATGGTGGCGGTCCGTCACCCGTTCTTGGAAGAGAGCATGTGGCTTGCCCTGCTCTAGCCTTCGAAACCCCCTTCGACAGTGGCTTTCGCACCAAGATCGTTGATAGCGGCAGCACTACACGAGGCTCTCGGAATTAATGACAGAGAAATCTCTGACCCCGGCGCCCTAGGTGCGGCCGTTGCTTTCTCATTTACCAACGTTTGAGGGGGATGAGCAGAGCAGAGTCAGAACGAATCTCCCTTGCCCGAGTTCACTGTGCGATGCTACCTACCCCACAACTCGCATTCCTGCGCAACCACGGTTCGATACTAAGCTTGCAGTTCGGCTCTTCTGCTGCATGACACTCGAGCAAATCGCAATATCAACGACGACTTGCTGTACCTAGCCGCATGTCTCCCCTCACGGTTCCGGCTGCATCTGACCGAGAACGAGTGATCGTGACGGAGGAATTGCGCAGCCTTGATGTGGCAGTGAATCAGTGTCAAACTCAACCCCGCCGCATCCAGACTGACTGATTGCGTGATAACCTTCCGACGTTGAACGATTTGGACTTCATGTCAGCCAGCCGTTGAATATGCCTTGGACGCCACGTCACTCTTGATGAATATCCGCCAAGGATGAGGGTTGGAATGGCAATGTAGATACATCAAAGCCTGGGGAATTTGGGGTCTTTACCGCACGCATCCTCTCGTCTGTATTTGGGCCACAGGGTTTGCTGGCAGGTTTCCCGACGCAATGCGCCACGGTGCAGCACACCCAGATCACACAGCGGCCGGGCGACTGCTATCCATAGCGATGGATCACTTTCAAATGGAGCCAAGATGGAGAGAGTGCCCGACAGTCAGAGCAGTCCCAACAGGGCGGATTGAGCAGCTGCAACTAAGACTACCCCTGTTCTCGCAGCATCAACAACCATGGGGTCGGTTGAGAAACAGGCCGTCGACGCATCAAGAAATCCTCTCTTCTTTCAACCTCCCAAACAGAAAACAGAAACGGTCGTGACTCACAAAAGGAATGGAGGCTGATGGGGGAGGATGAAGCAAAACCGCCCAACCCTGCGACCGCTACCCACCAGCGCCAGTGGACATCGATCTGCTGTTGAAATCCCCGTAATGTCCATAATCCCATCTTGATCGGTGGAATCCCATGGGGGCGGCGCCTGTCGCCAAACGCTGCGTGGCTGTTCCGGCCTCGGAAGCCACACCCAAACAACCACACAAGATGGCACCCCTGGAGCGGCTCTGTTGATCAGGTCTCACCGTCTCGCAACGAGGCAAGTCAGGGTCTCCGTCAAGCACTCGTTGCTATCTTTGGTCGAGGGAGTCGAGGACGAGCTTGGTCTGAAGCCGAGGGTACACCAATCAAACGGCTCGACAGCCACTCGGACTCGCAGATGATCAGGGCCCTTATTCATTTCTTGATGGTGCGTCTCCGGCTGTGTGCCACGGTCTGTGATGACCAGCCACACGCTACTGCCACAGGATGCAACACAAGTGAACAATTAGAGTTCTGCTTGGTCGTCTCAAGGTCTCGGGTGTCCTCCGTTGGCTGCATATTTAGAGCTGCAGAGGCGAACGTCGAGACTCTTGCAATTGTCCTCACTGGGACACTGGGATGAGAAAACTCCTTGAGCAACAAGGAAACTAGTCTACAGGAGTTTCTTCCGTCGTTCCCGCGACTTAGTCCCGACGCTTTCAGACTATGGGATTGAGGGCACTACGGGGGCAATGTGAGTCCGGAGCGAGCGCCGAAGGGTGTACCCTGCCAGTGTAGGCAACCGCTTTGCTTTCAAGTGCTCACCTTGCAAGCGTTACACCCAGACGTTTGATCCGGATAGGAACAATGTAGTGGGGAAGAGCAAATGCGTACTGAGGTAATGAGGCATTCCCGGTACACCGAGAGATGGGGGCGTGGGTCACCGCTGAGCGTAAGGGAGTCACCTCGACTGGTTGCGGCGCTTTCGGAGGAGCATCCTTGCCCAACGGTTCTCAGGGTTGCGTACGGAGTATCCCAGACGGCATCTCAGGATCGCGATGGAATGGTTCAAGGATGGAGTCGATGGCCAGTAAGAAGAAGGTGAGCGTTATCAACGCTGTGGAGGAGGTGCCTCGATGTCGGCTTCGATAACGACAGCTCAGTATGCCTTGGGTACGCAAGATGTCACTCACGCCCCCCACGGCCGCATGCGACGACTGGCTGACCACGCCGTCCAAGTGCGGGTGGTGCAGGCCAGCTGAATATCTCCGGTGCGGAATGCGTGTACTGCTCGCAGGAAGCCAGCGACGACCGCTCGCTGCGTCTGAAGAGAACAGGCTGCGAGCAGCAACAAGTAAGATCAACATTGAGCCATCGGCGACGTCCAACGTTGGAATGCAACCGGGTCTACCAGGTTCTTGGACAGTTGATGAGCAACAATCAAGCGCCGATCCTGTATCGAAATGGGCCAATCCCTTGATGGTCGAATCAAAGGGCAAAGTTGCGTACATTTTGACTTTTGTAACAGCTGGAGAAAGGTTGAGGTCAGCTGGACATGACAAAAGGCAGAGACGCTGGGACGACGAGGATGAGGACCACGGCAGAAGGGCGGAGATTCGGCACGCGAGAGCAAATGCCAAAATCAGACGAGAAACACACTTCCTGAATGAGTGACGGACCAACAAGAAAGCCTGGGAAATTCGGTGACACGTATCACATTAACGCATCGTCACCAAAGGCCAGGGCACGATGCAACGGCAGTCGAGATAGGGCGGTACGAAGTATGGGCAAAGCAATGGCAAGCACCGGGCTACAGAGCACAACGCATCAAAGCGACCTTGCGGCATGCCATGGCGCGTGCAGCAAGGGCGTCGACGTAATAGAGTCTGGGGGAAACAAGACACCAATTACGGTTCCTCGGCACCTAGTTTTAGCGGACGACAAACATGGGATCATCATGTCAGACTGACCTCACAGGCCCTTTCGTCACCGGCGGTACCTGTTGATGCCGTCGTCGTCGACTGGTTTCTTGGAGGGCAAGCTCTGGCCGTCGGGCAAGGCATCATCTCTGCCATCGATTGCATGCGTACAGGCGACACCTATTTCTGTACAGATACGTTGTGGCACTGCATGGCAAATGTACCTGACCAAGGGCCAAGTTGTCGGTACGTTGGCCCTTTTTTCTTCCTTTGCTCAACTCTGTGGTCCCTTGAGCCTTGCTGAGATGCTCGAGCATTGACTTTCATCTCCCTAGAGCGCATGGCGGGCCATTTCCAACGCTCGATGGCGGACGCAGGTACTTGTCGCTTCAACAGTAAAGAGCTTTGGTGGTACGGAGTACTTGATCACACTTTGCTCATCTCACAGCGAGCCAGGCGCCGAGGTATACCGCGTCGTCAGCCGAGACCACCGCACGCCGCATGCCGCACGCCGCACGGAAGACCGCTTTTTTGTTGGCCAGGAAGACGCAAGTCTCGAGTCTCGCAGGACCCGGATGAGTGCATCGTTGGCTGCCGTCATCTTGTACACGTCGAGTTGAAAGTGCGATAGTATGGCGCCGCCTATGCTTGCCTCGACATGGATATACACCGCAGCAGCAGCCGCAGTCACGTTGGTGGTTGCACAAGACAGGGCAGAGCTGGCAGGATCCGACGAGGCCAACGTAAGGCGGGAATGCTGCCATGCCATACTTCGTCCTGCATCTTACAGTACGCACCCGGTAGTACAAGACAAGGCAACCTTTGAGGTTATTCTTGCCGTGGCGCGTAGATGTGTGCCAAAATCCTGCTGCCCGGGAGGAAGAATCCAAGAATACCATAGACGGAACGAGGAGATTATTTCGTCAAACGGGGTGTCATTGATGATCCAACGGGCGAGGCAATACAAGAAAAAAAAAGGACGAGACATCGGAGACAATACGCACGCAGCCCCTGAGGGGGGGCAAATGAGGTGGAAACATGGCGAGATGCGCCGCGGACGACTGTGCCACAGGCGAGACAGAGAGAGCCACTCGAGGACTTTGGGAGACATGGGCCGGGTCTGACTCTGGCGTGTGTTGAGTGCTGCTGGCGTTGGGGTTTGGCGTTGACAGTTGCTTCTGACTTGTCCCCGGGCGGTGGTCTCGGGGGACGCACAAGACATTGCAACTGCTCTGTCGCTGTCTCTACCATACACACAGAGACAGAGAGGAGTCATCCATCTCGCACACCCTCCCTCCTTTTCCATGCCAGCGGGACCCCTGTTCTGGACGAGAGCGGTGCACATGGCGTTGTATCCGGCCGGTACAGTACCTTGGAGATTGTCGTCGCCTGGAGGTACCTTGATCCTTACCTACCGTACTGCGAATCCTCAGGAGGGAAGAGAGCAGTGCAGCAAGCAAGCAGACCAGAGCCAGCATGAGCCGGAACAGCGGTTCCTGGTATTGGAATTGTTCTTTTTCCTTCTACATCAGGCCTCCCTTGGGTTTCCCCAGAAGCCCATCGTGCAGCTTGCGGCTTTGCTTGCGGCTTGTGGCCTGCCCATGACATGACGGAGCCTGGGTACCTACTGCGTAGGGGAAGAATACGCAGGAGCATGGGAATTGCCAAAGGTACGTACTTGCAGAGAATGCCATGTCCCCTGCCTGCCCTGGTCGTCGTGGGCCCTGTCTTGTCCTCCATGTTTCTGAAGGTTTTTTTTTTTAATTATTTTTATTTTATTTTTCTGCCGTTGTGTTGCCCCTTCTTTTGATGTTTTTTTTTTTGGTCCTGTCCTCTTGGGTTTTCTGTATTTTGGGCTGGTGGGAGGACCGGTGGCCCCCGTCTCTTTCGGCGTCTCCCTGCTTGCCCTCTCCTGTCTTTTTCGCCTTCACTCTCAGTCCCTTTTTTCCTCCTCCAGGGCCCCGTCCGTCCATTCACTTGTTCATCATATTAACGACACACCCCCTTTTTGCTCCTGTATGACGACACACCCTCTCTCTCTCTCTCTCTCTCTTGCTGTCTTGCTGTCTTTCGGCGGCTTGTTGCTCTCCCCTATGAATGCTAATCCCCGGTGGAAGACTCCCTTTTTTCTGAATTCTGCCCAGTTCCCCATCTTCTGCGCATGAGCCCTTTTGCTACTGCACTACATAGTACATACACAGTCCTGCGTAGGTATATTTCTTACGGATGCGCGCTGGGTCAGTGGTAGTCGAGTTGTCTGCCCTGCAGCGGTGCAGCCCTTCTGCTCAATTTCGTGCCTTTCTCCTGCCAGTCTGCTGCCCCCTGTCGGGATTGGATTCTTCTTTTTCATCTCCCCCCAGGTGCTTGGTCAGGTACCCAAGGTCCCAAGGTACGAGGATACCTTGCGTCGT